TGAGACAGGTATGTACAGGGACTTTACGACAGTTTTTGAGAAGATGGAGAAGCTGGGAGGAGAGAAATACAGTGAATTTTTGATGAGTGAGATAGAAATTTGACGATAACTATCGCGTGGTTTTGGAAAGATTTGAGTGGAGCTTTTAGTAAATGGTTTAGATAGAGGTGGGTTCATCTTGTTACCCATCACAATACTAGACAATCTATTATGCTATATGATGCAGAAATATTTTATATTTCGCAGTATTAAACTCTATTTTGCTGAAATATACTGTATTTTGCCGTATTATACTGTATTGCGATAAGTATTACGTTGTATCTTGATGCACAGATAAAGATAAATTGCGCAAATTTCGATAAACGTGTGCAACAGTAGGAACGGGGTCCCGTCGCGCGAATGAAGGGTTATAAATTGTCACTTGAAAGCGGGAACTATACGCCACTCCCGCGACGTAACGCGACAGGCAAAGATTCGATCGTCGATGGCCGCCGGCAGATGCCCGTCGTCTGCATGTATCCGTATCACCGTCCCGGGCGGTTCATTCCCGATGGAAGCGAAAATGAAAAGGCGGCGCGAGGGTGGCGTGGAAGATCGAACGGTTATTCGCTCGATGGAGGGCACTTTCGATCGGTCTCCGAGCTTTAGGGCGCGATGGAACGCGAATAAATTTATTCCCCCCAGCTGACGACCCGCCTCGTCGACTACCGCGAGAAAAATGCCACTGGTTTCTCCCTCTTTTCCCGTACGAAGCAACACTTTTGTCGCTCGTTGTCGACGGAGATCTCGACTGGAATTCCTCGTGCAATCGCGTATCGATGCGCGAGGAAATCTGCCATTCGTGTCATGGAACACGGAAACGTATTTGGTTTCGTACGCTCGAGAATGCTGGATTGAATCGGTGCAGAGCTTGTCGAAGACGCGGGGGTTAGGACGCGAAGGTTGCGCAAGGTCGAGTGGACTGTTAGGCAAATTGGAGCACGCGAGGGAGTCCATTGCCTCAACAGTTGGAAAATTAGTCTATTACGGATGATGTTGCGAACTGAGATTGAATATATATTACAAGGTTAAGGACATTGAATGCTCCAAGGTTGAGAACGGTACTTTCATCCTTCTACAATTGTAATTCTTATTTCTGATGCATACACTATTTTTTTTTCCTATGCTAGCAGTAATAAAAATAAAGAAATGTTACACGTTAAACTTGAGATGCTTGAGAAATGATTTATTTTCTTTCAACTCGGTCAGTATAATCGATTTCATTTTCATAGACATCGAAGGTCACAAATCTTGCCTTTCCAGCGATCATACCCTGCCAAATTAACCCCCTACGATATCACAAGAGTAATTCCATCATAAATCCCCGAGAAAGGATCCGTCCAGCGTACCCAACCGCCTGAATTTCGGTTTCTCTCGACAGAAACGTATTTAGGATCCCGAATAATTTTCAGCTGAAAGCCTAGCAGCCACCCGAGGGGTAGATTTTGAACTTGACGCCCCGTTTATACGTCACTCGCGTGCTTTTACTCTCGAACGTTGCACCCTTTATAAAATCAGCCCACCGGGAGAACGCGCTTTTCTGAACACGCTCTTCCGTTGCTCTCTTTTCTCCCCGTTTCCGTCGTTGCCTTATAAACGAGGCATTCGCGTAATCCCAGTCTTTCTGTATTATTCAATTTTCCCCGTCCTCCGTACAACCCGGCCATTCCACTCCGGCCCGCAGTTTACATTTTGCTCTCGGCTCGCTCACTCCACTCGGTTACCGCATATTTACGTTTCAAATAATCCTTTATGCGCTTACGTTTCTCGCCCATTCCCTTACCAGACGGGAATAAAGACTTTATTCTATTCCGCTTCATTTTATCCCACTTACTCTTGCACGCGCAACGACCACCGCTGTCCCGGGAACGGGGCTTAGGCTGCGCGCACACCGGTCGAAATTTTCATCCGGATAAAAAGATAAACGAAGTAAGTAACGTTCGAAAATACTTGGTAAACGGATTTAAACGCGATTATTATTCGAAGCGGAACGTATTGGTCGAATTCGCACCGAATCGTGGTCAGCGTATAATGAAAACCAATTTACTCTGAGTCTTTGTTTATCGATGCACCGTGAATTAATTTTCAAACTGTGACGGGTTACGTAGTAATTGACTTTGTATTTTTATTCTAAAGAAGTTTACTGGTATACTTATCATAAGTGATGTGATTATCTCTTAAGGTTTGGATTTATATCGAGTTCAAAAGTCACGCTTACCTTTACCCTGTCTAAAAGACCTCGAAACCAGTAAAATTCTTCCGCAATAAATATTCAACCCATAAATAGGTATCAATTGTGACAGAAGCTTAACGAGCATACGGACGCAAGCATGATCGCGCACGGGACGCCGCGATGCAGGTAGATTATGGTTCGAACCGGTTGCGAAAGGCGCGCAACCGAACGGCGGCCCCCAATCGGAATTGCTAATTAGGCGCGTGTAAAATTACTGTAAATCGACGAGCCGACAATTATTGTAAACAGCCTATCCTGTAGGGGAATATTTCACCGTCGTCGAAGGGGGGAGAGAAGGAAGGACGAGCTCGAAAACGATTTTCCTCTTTGAGAATTACCATTCGACGACGTTCGCTCGCCGCCTCGGACCTTTTGCGATCGCGCGACGACGGCGAACAACGAAACTGGAAAGGGAGAACCCTTATCGGGGAAGATTAACTCCTTGTCGCGATGAACCGCGCCTGTATCGCCTGAACAAGTGCAGGCTCTGTTTGGAAACGTTTCAAGGTAACGTTTAATCATTGGGTAGAAGGTTAGAGTGTGCAGCGGAAGGCTGGGTCATTTCTGACCCGTGGTGAATACATCTATGGATCTAGAAATGTATTTTCCTGTCACATTTTTATGTTAATATTTTGAACTATATTTTCTAGTGATTCTTTCTTTTTTTTTTAAGAGGGGCAGCTTATGATGGAAATGGAGAAAAGCCCTCCTCCTTAGCCCTCAATTCCTTCTCTTCTAAAATATTAACCAAAAAATGTCTTCTCATTTCCGTCACTTCGTACAAATCTACCAGACCACTACTCTTTCGTGTGCGAAACTACTGTTCCTATCATCGCGAGGCATCGCCAATTCTTTCAGTGTGCATTATTCAGCGGATCGCAAAACATCCGAGGCGTTTCCGTGTGGCTTCGATTGTTTTTTTCTTCCCTCCTCGCTCTTCCACGTAATTACTGAAACGTGACTCGAGCGACAGGGATCGCGGAGACGGTGGCATGAAATATTCGAAGCGCTCGGAACGTCGTATTCATGAATATCGCACGACAGCGTATGAATTAGTCCGGGACGAAGGTGGAAGTTTAATCGGAACGGGACGCGCGTCCTTGGGTATCGGTTGCACCGGGGAAACGCAGGCGCAAGCGATTCCGAGCGGCTCCGCTTCGAAATGAACCGCGGCCCGTACCGTTCCTCCAGGGGCCACAAATCGTTCCGAGGATCTAGATCTCGCGCAGTCCTTGCTCCACTTCCACCACTATCGCCCGCACACGCGTGTTTCAATTACCGCAATTTTATCGCCGATCCTCCTGTTACACTATCTTTGTTGTAATGAAGCAGTGTGAACGTATCATGAAAAAAAAAAATATACATGTCGAATTGAGTAACCTCCTCCTTTTCGAAATCGGTTAAAAATAGCAATTAATAATAATTTTAATCAATATGGAATGCAGGGATGAACAATTTAATTGTGCATTAAAGCATTGAAACATCAAAGCAATGAAGCATCAAGATATTGAAGCACTGAAGCTTTGGAGCATCGAGGCGTCGAAACATCGAAGCATGAAAGCGTTCAAGCATCAAGACATTGAAGCACTGAAATTTTGGTGCATCGAGGCTATGAAACATCGAAGCATCGAAGTATCAAAGCGTTGAAGAATCGATGCATCGATGCATTGAAGCACTAAAGCTTTGGTGCATCGAGGTTTCGAAACATCGAAGCATCAAAGCATCGAAGCATTGACAAATCGAGGCACTGAAATATCAAAGCATTGAAGCACCGAAGCTTTGTTCTTCTTTGTTGATGTCTTCGAGCAGTAAATTTAAATATTCTTCATTCCTAAAATCATGATTTACTATCCACTAAACTGTTTGTTTTCTATAGCTGCTCTTCGTTAAATACAATTTAGATCGAGTACTCATGAAATAGTCCTCACCCAATCGATGATAATTTAGTTTATTCGTAGCTCTGACTCTGATTTCTGTCACGAGGCTCCCTCTTTGATCCGATTCCGAGCTATGCATAAATTTTCCGCTTTTATGGCACTCTTTTGCACGGATCCGAGAGATTTCGACTTGTTGGTCTCTTTAGGAACGAAAGTGGGACGCGTGAAGCGGATATTACGAAGTGCAGAGCATTAAGTTATACGGCTTAAGTCGACGCTAATTTTCACAGTTTATATTTTTGCTCCGACGCCTTCGGCTTTAATACCAACCTGAAAGCTTTCCCTTTATCCTCCGTGTATCTTCCACCGCACGCATTTCTGCGGATTTTAATGCTTCAACGTTTCTGAAATTCCTAACAATTTATTCGCGAGGTTTATCTAGTTATTAAACGTGGCAGATAAAAGACATTGTAGCTGAGCATAATTCTTTCAGCCTTTCTATAACTTCTTTCACAGAAAAAAACTGTACGCCCTTCCTTTTTCACAAATATTTATCTTTTTCTGTTCTTTCTATACTATTAATTAACTTAAAACAATGTACACACTCACTGTAACAAGGTGCCTACAGTGATTATCAAATTTGAACAGCTATGAAAGAGGCTTTCCATCGATAAATATACATACAAGTTACTCCAGTCTAGACGACTGTGTAAAGAACGCAGGCGTAGAGGGATTTAGGTGTTCGCACATCATGGAGGATATTCGGTGTAAAAAGCTGGTCGCGTAAAATGACGCAAGAACGGTCCAATGGCAGGAAGAGGGAAACATAAAACGAGAGGTGTATTTCCTACCTGGTGTGGCTGCAGGGTGTCAGGGATGGGCCGTGGTGTTATTAGCCAGCGGTGCTTACGGGGCGCATAAGCGCAACCTCCACCTCCGAACTACTCCGGCTTTGTCTCTGCATCCTGAAAAACCCAGAAACAAGCGAAATGAGTTTTACACCGTCAAGAGTCGCTGGCTAAGGTTTGCCACGTTTATGTAAACGGGGTGGACGGTAGGCTAGAATTAATTTCCTGCTATGCAAAAATAATACAAAATTCAAGGATAAAATTAATTACAGTAGGTAAATTAAAAAGCAAGTAAATATTCGATTCGTTTGGTTTCATCGACCAAGGAGTGGATTTCGCACTGTTTATATGAATATTATTTAAAATGAATACTAGCTTCACGAAATCATGAAAATAAATTGAACGAACAATATCATACTATAATAAATTACGAGGATGTAAAGGTATCCTAGATAGTGCGCCGAAACGTGTTCATCTTCCGTAGTCTCCTGTTCAGCAACGTTTTGATACATTATTCAGGATCTCTTTACATCCTCATAATTTATCAGAGTATGATGCTGTTTATTCAATTTACTTTCCTGACATGATGCTTTTCTTGAAATACTCGGGTTATTCAATCCATGTTATTATGTTTCCTACTTATTGTACGTTATTTTTAATCCTTCTAAAATTGTAATTTACGATTAAATCTTGTATTTCCTTGTTTTCATGTTTGCACCTCTAGAGGATCAAACACTCTGACGATTCACTAGCTAAATCGTTCTGTTCTTCTGTCAAATAATTTACATGGTCTCACATCACGTTGTTTTGTGTACCAGTAAGACCGTAACAAAGGAAAAATGATCAATACCGAAATAATCTACCCCGAAGTCCCCAGTATGAATATTCTTCTCGAAATTAACGAGTGCTGTGGCGTGCACTCGGGGCACGCTTTGAAATTCATCCTGTCGAACAGACCTTTTCGTATTACAATATCGCTTTCGGATACATGGTGAAAGTTTGATATTAAACGAAGAAATAAAGAGGAATATATAAAATGAACGCAGTTGGAAGAGGATTGATGGACGAAAGCATGGAGCTCGGCGCAGCTGCACCCGCGGGGTTCGCATCGATATTCGAGCAACGTGTACGATTGAACGTCGATGCGCGCATTGCTCTCGTCCAGCACCTGGTTATGTGGAGGAAGTACCACCGATACACAGTTATTGCCGTCACTGTCAGCAGCTCGCGCAAAAGATGAAGCAACGCTTTCGGAAACCGCTTCACTCCATTTTTTCACCTCCAACATCGTTACTTACGCGTGAACAAGTAAAACAAACAATAATAATACTGAGCCACTGAATTTAAATTGACCCTTTAATAAATATTTTTAGGGTCTCCAGTGGTTTTGATTTTATGAAACACTGAGATGTAACATTTTATTATACAAGTATTATGTTTTATTTTCTTTTGTGGTCATTTTCTGGTGCATAGAATACTGAAGTATTGAAGGATGAAAGCATTGAAGCATTAAAACACTGAAGTATTGTAGCATCGAAGCATTGCAGTATCGAGGCATTGAAACACTGAAGCATCGAAGCATCGAGGCATTGAAGCATTGAAACATTGAAGAGCTTCTTCTTCGGCTCTTCTTCCCCATTTTAATGCTCAGAGTGGCCAGTAATGGTGACGAATTATGGCATATGGAGGGTCGAAGGTCTCCCACACGAAATGTAATAATTTCTCGGTATCGTCCAACGTTGCGGATTTATCGTAACGTTAAACAAATGCGCGTGAATTCAACGTTAATTGTTTTGCAAATTAATTCATACGCTCCGGGCGTGGTACAAATCAAAATGCACCGTCCCTCGAGAGGGTTGGATCGGTCAATAATATACAAATTATCACCGGTGGTTAAACATTTACATTATCTGGTGCTGGCGGTTTTTACGCTCGCAGAGGAAGAATACGATTAATAGCTAATGACGATTAATCGAGCACGGTGTTGCGAAACGGCGCACGCTGCAACGGAATTAATTCGTGGAGCGACAGAAATAGCTGTACCATAATTATCTCACATTTTTTTATTGATTTATTCACAGAGAACTGAGCCACTGTTATTCGGGTGAACAAGAGGAAACGAGAGAAATATAATGTAGGAATGAGTAAGAAAATATAAAAAATACATACTACACGAAACAGTACCTTTTATGTGTGAGATAAATAATTTCCTTATACTATGATTTAATTTTATTAAAGTCTTTATCAAATATAAAACTACTGCTTATCGTCACTTTGAGTAAACATGTCGATACTCCGCCGACGAAAACAGAACCACCTCAGCTTGCAGACGCAACGTAAAAAATACGTTGCTAATATATGTAATAATTAATCAGCTTACAGCATATACACAGCTTTATATCATTATATCGCCCTTTTTTTAATACTTGTAAGCATTAAAATTCATCACTGTGGCAATTTAAAATTTAACACGGTGCTACTGATCGTGTAAATATTCTAGAGCTATCCTTTTTCCAAACATGAAAATGAAATTCACGCACATCAGAGAGTGAAGGAAATTAGCCGGAATATTTTCCCCGCAGTTTGCGCTAAAATCAGTCAATTATTTCTATCGCGCAGCGAATCAATTCTGGTCCACTGTGCGCCATGCACGCGCTACACTCATGTAAAACTCCTCCTCCTCTCTCCCCCCCCCTCCCTCCCGCGTACACGTGCAACCGCGTAATGGGTTGCGGAAGGAGAAAGGGCGAGCTGCTCACCGCTTGAGCAAAAGTTTATATTGGATTTCATATTTAATGCAACACACACCGTTGCCGCTACGAGGCCTGCCCCAACGGATAAATTATTTATGTCGGGACGCTTTTGTCCCTGTCTGGCAGCGAGGGTCGTCGGATACAGGCCAGAGAGAGCGAGAGAGGAAGAAAAAAAAAGAATGGAGAGAAAAAGCCTGCGGATGATCGTTGAAAGGTCGCGATGAGCCCTGAACTGAACGAAAACCGTCGATCCTTTGGGGGGCGTTTACGATGAAATCTTGCTGACTTGATGGGACCTCGGCGTCCAGGAATGGCATTAAGGGCCTAACCTTCGAATTGCACGATGCCATCGAATATTGAGTCTTCGGTACGTTGTTTTATCGGGTATTAGGCGGCATATAACAGATAAGGGCAATCTTGTGTACTCTTACCTGAAATTTTAGAGTATCGAATAAGGGTTGAAGAATGATATTCTGTTTTATGATGAATACAAACTGGTTCTTTTGAGAAAAACTATTTCTATCATCGGATGTTCCTCTAAAATTGTGCAACCTAGTACTTTATACACCTCAAACAAAAACTTCATTTTTGGACTTTTGACCACGTTTTCGGGATTCTGCACCACTGTGGAGCGTGACGACCAGGCGTCTGACGCAATGAAAGCAGCGTCCCGACGCAGATGCTCGTCGACGCTGAATATACGAGCCACGATGACGCAAAGCGTTCCAACGGAGTTCAGAAGTTTCCAGGATGTTAACTCTTCGTAGACGGGATCTCCGATACCGCTTAGTACGAGAAGTTTTAAGGGTCCATAATATGCAAGAGTATAGATTCATGGCTGACAAGAGTCGTAAAAATCGCGGGAGCGTTAGCGAACGCTTTACCAGTTTCCTCGAGGAGGACACATAAATTACACGAAGGTTATGCGATGACAGAGATGCTCCCCCTCGAGGACCTAATCGTTTTCGAGCTATGTATCAATGCTACGACGCGAGGCCTCCAGAGAGATTAGGCAAGTGTATCTGATTTCGACAGGATCGTTCACCCTTTCAATTCAATCGATATGGTTTGCGAAAGCTTTAGGAATTAGATTTACTAAATTTCTTAAACTTATAATACTGAATGCGTTGAATTTTACCATTTATAATGATAAATGCTCGAGGTTTCATCATTCCAAAGTCGCCTACAGTTGCTTCAGCTTGGAGCAAAGTTTCATACAGCGTGAAGTCTTTCATGTTCGCCAACATGTTTTTCCTCGAACCAGTTTAGGATGTGCGAAGTTACAAGAGAAAGAAAAGATTGTGCTGTCCCGTGGAAAGTAAACCATCGGACGATTGCAATCGTGTATACCAATGGTTCATAAAATATTAACGAGAAGGTAATTATCAATGAATCATTAGCAATTTCACTTAACGCGCGTGAAAATAGTTTCCATTGTTCCACACGAGAAAAAGGAAAGCAAAAAGGTAGTACTCCATTCTAGTAACCGTGCAAGAGATTTAATGACCGTTATTCGACTCTCACGTTTGCGCAAGTCGATCATCGGGCACTAGCTGTCGGGCATGGAAACGCGAAACGCGGTGAATGGAACACAAGGGAACATTGAGGAAACATTTGTTAACCGAATGGAAGACAATGGGGACCAATTTGGCTAATAAAACGGAGCTAGGTGAAATATTATTGAATGTGATAAATACTGCATGTGCAGTGAAACTTGCTCCGTATCAGATCCGTGTGAAGCGAATGGATAGTGTAAGAGATAATTAAACTCATTATTGGCCTTTGGAGTAAATGAGATGTTAAATTTATATGCTCACTTTGACAATTGCTTATATTTTAATTGCGTATGTAGAAGCATCCGGGCATTAAAGTATCGAAGCATTGAACCATCGAAGCATTAAGAAATTTTTTTTTTTCACAATTTTTACGTGTGTTATTTGAATATCAATTTCATGAAATAATTAATTTTCACTGAGGCACGTTGGGTGGGCAAATACTTTTGTGACCCACTCCAGGTTGCAGGCAATAGCGCTGGGGAATAGGGCTCGAATAGCTGGTCTCGTCACGAAACGGCAAAATTGGCCCCGTCCGATCCGAGATATCCAGGAACCTTCGGAGATGTTAGCATATCTAATGAATAGCGACTAGAACTAAGCAGGCGTTTAGAACGCGATGAAAAGCAAGGGACGCACGGAATGAACGGGTAATATCGGGAATTCGACTCTGCAGCTACTCGTTACGTGGAGGGGCGGCGCTCACGGAACCATTAACGATGGACCCATTGGTCGATTTCCACTGCTCACCGAGGATATCGAACCTTTATCATTACCAGGGAAGAAGACATCGATCAAATCCTCGATGAAG